TGTAGCTGGTGATGCAAAGTAAATGGTCACATCTTCACTCAGCTGAGCTTGCAAGTGTAAAAAGATGCTTTCCTGCCTTGTGTCACCAGTGTCATGAAACACATTAGTCCACTTCCCTTTGGCACTGGAAGTCTCATTCATTTACAGAACAGGGGGGGAAAATCGGGCTGATTGGTAGAGATTTTCTTCCTCCACATCTTCTTTCAGTAACGATTCAGCAAGATAGAGAGCCAAGCAAGGCTGCAGTATGGATTTAGTGCTCTCTGTCTCTCTCTGTCTCTCTCTCTCTGTCTCTCTCTCTTTCTTTCTCTCTCTCTCTCTCTCTCTCTCTCTCTCTCTCTCTCTCCCCCCTCTGGCTCTCTATGTGGATTCGTGACTGAGGAAGCCATTCTGTTAATCTGACAAACCCTATCCTGCTGGCACAAGTTCTGCTTGAGTTGGCAAGGGTGTCCGGACTGAAATACAGTCAGGCACCCTATGTTCAGAGAATTTCGGCCTCAGAATGAGAGATTTGTCCTGGAATATGATGCTGTATTAATTGCCTCCTTCCTCCCTTGCATTTCAGCTTGGCTCGAATAAAAACCCTGTAGCTTTGGTATTTGACACAAGAAAACTGTCAACTTTGGTTGAATCAGCTCAATAAAAAAATTGACTCATGAGTTCATTCAGCAGGTGCAGCAAGCCAAAGTCAGGCTTTGCAGTGAAGTGTGATTTTTTTAATAATGGAACAGAGTCAGAGTTCTTATTTTAAGGCCCACATTTTCTACACATTCTAAGTGATGCTCTGGATGAGTTCCAGACAGCTTTAGTGCGATGGTAAGAGGCTCGTGATCTGTAGGAGGACTTCGGTGAAATCTTTGCACCAAAAAAGCAATGCTTTGAAATTAATTAATTTAATATGTACACGATTTCAAAATCATTTAAATATATCACATCAAAACAATGGGCCTCATTCGCCAACCATTCTTAAGAAGAAATTTCTGCTTAAAACCTACTTACGCAGTTGTCACAAAGATTCTGACATTCACCAATGTCAAATTTGGGATTTGTTCTTGGACAAGAACAGAATCTACACACACTCAAAAGCAAAAAGGTAAAAACAATTCTGCGCTTTAAGAACATGTCATGAATCTGACGTAGACTTTTTTTTAGGACCTTTGTAAAGAACACATTTAAGACAAAACTCAGGAAGATATTGGAGAATGAGGCTCCAAGTTTACTTCTCATTGACTTCCATTGGGTAGTGTAATATATTTATGTGGAAATGATGCATATTTAAACCACGTCAATTCATTTAATAACTTTTTGTTTTACTGTACGTAAGAAAAGCTGTGCTAGTTTTAGACAGTTTGACTGTTCAGACTGATCCTAGATCAGAGGTGAAATGCAGGGGAGAGACATAAACATGCCTCAAAGAGCATCAGTAACAGATATCTATTCGGTCCTTACTGCTACTTCTAACACACCTTCTCATCCTCCCACCGCTAATCAATATTTGGGTGACTTTCAACTTTTCTTCATCTTATGAAAGATTCACCATGCACAAGTCAGCATTTCAGTGACCTGGTCAAAACCTTTACAGAGTGAGTGTTTAAAGAGCACATAGAGATTTATTTAAAGAATCTGGACAATGTGCATACATTGATTTTTCTTCAACCCCTTAAACTCTAAGGACAGGTCCAGACTTTCATTCCTCACTCCTCATGACTATACACTACATAGCAGTTTGTAGTAGTTACCAAATAAGTTATATTATTCTGGATGATGTTTCATAATGGATGTATTTCTTCTAGTGCACAAAGTCTTATTGCAAGTATAGTGTAGCTCTGTCATACAACAAATATGACAGGTATTTCAAATATTGCAAAGAAACATTTCTGTGTTAGTGACTGATTCATCAGATTATCTTTCATCTGTGTTTACAAGATCTTCATGGGATTATCCACTCTCTCTAGCATAAACTGAACACATAGCTAAGATAATAGGCTCCAGTAATATTTGGACAAGCTTTGAGTTTAAATCTTTAGTCAACAAGTCAGCATCCAGTCTGTAACATCTGTAACATTCAAGTAAAGAAGATACTTGAATGTTTGTTATGAGTTTCAAATGTCTGCATTAATCTAAAGAGTTGGTATATTTCTGCAAAATGCAAATATAATTTGATGCTAACATAACATTGAAATCCCTGTTGCCAGCCTATAGCATTATAACAGTTAAACAAAACCTACTATCAAAGCAAGTTTCTGCATGAACCTACTAAAATCTCAGGCTTATTAGATACTAATTATAGGTATTTAGTAACTACAGGGACTTCAATGCAAACTGGTCGAGCTATTCTTAGGCTTCAGAATTGTGTAATAAAACGCTGGGCTCACTGGTAGTCCTTGGCCATTTAAGGGGTTAATGCATTGCTTTGTAATGTAGTGGTCACACCCCTAGAAAAACAGGAAGAGAAAAAGCATAAAGATAAAAGTGTGTTTTGTTTGTTTTTGTGGTGTTAACGTTATGTCCCTTGTTTTTACTGTTAGTTTAGGGAACAAGAAGTGGTGGATCTGGGGTCAGAGACAAGCTTTCTGACTGAGTTTTAGCTTCACAAAACCTAACAAACACATATGCAGTTAACTCATTTTACAACAGCGTTTAACAACTTTATCTGGTATTCTAGGTTAAGATTCTCAGGCTGTGATTAATCTTTGTATGTGTGTGAATCAATCACATGAGACACAAAGAGGAGTTGCCAAAGAAGAAAAAGGAAATCATCCTACCTAAATGTGTAAAAAATGAAGGATTATATCAGTTAAAAAACAATGTTTTGCCACTGCCGCCAGGGTTACATCAAACTGAACTTAAAGTTAGCTGGGTAAGCAAGAAATACTGGATTTGAAATCTGTATTGAGAATGCTGAAAAGCTTACCTCCAAAGGAGCTATAAGCAATAGTTAAATTATTAAAGTGTCATCAGAGTAATTGGTTTGTTATGAGATGTTCTATTGTAGAGAAGTTCAGAATGGTGGTGATAGGAACCAGATAATGGGCAGTGTAAAACGGTGCTGTCATACTACAAGTGTGACAGGTATTTCAAATATTGCAAAGATTACATTTCTGTGTTAGTGACTGAGTCATCAGATTATGTTTCATTTGTGTTAACAGGCTCTTCATGAGATTATCCACCCTCAATAGCATGAGCTGAACACATAGCTAAACCAGTGGGCTTCAGTAATATTCGGACAAGCTTTGAGTCAAGAAGTCAGAATCCAATCTGTAACATCCTAGTAAAGAACATACTTGAATGTTTACTTTGAGTTTCAAAGCATTAATCTAGAATATATGCAAATATAATTTAATGCTAACATAACACTGAAATCCTCATTACCAGGCTAGCAGAAAAAAGCATTTCAACAGTTTCTGCATTAACCTCTTAAAATCCCAGGCTTATTATGGACTAAGGCATATTATTCAGTAACTACAGGGAACACTTTTTGCATAGTTTAATCAGAGTAATGTAGATTGCTTTATTGTGAAATGTTCTATTCTAGAGAAACTTAGAAGTGGTGGTGATAGTAGCCAGATGGCTAAAGAGTTTGATGCCTCTAAAAGCTCCCTCACAAAAAGTTAAAGTTTTGGGGTTTTCACAGTCACCTTTCCTCTGACGTCATCACAAACCAGAGGGCTGTTATTGGTCATTTTGCACGTCAGTCAAACAGCCTCTTCCTGACAAGCTAGGCAATTTTTGACGATAGGCAGAAGTTTTAGAATAAAACATATTTTTAAAAACACATTCATGGTGGAGAGGTACATAAAAGGTGTTACAGGGAAAAACAGTCCCCAAAGAAAGAAATAAAAGATTTTTTTCCAGATTTACCACTATTTTATCAATACCAAGTTTACATACAAAAGCTCACAAGACACATGCAGGTTTAATGGTCATTTTGGACAGTAAATGAAATGCTATATTTGGGTTGTAGACATTGTGACCTCTGGTTCCTATCAACACCACTGTAAAGAAATCTGTCAGTAAGTTTCTGTACAAATGAACCAAGTCAAACCACTCTGAATGACTTTGTTTACATCACTACGGATGAAATACGCAGAAACTTTTGAAAGATCAATGGAATTCCCCCTGACGTCTCAGTACTATTAAAAATAAACATAATCTCTAGATTGTGTAATTAAATCAAAACCTAATAAACAAACCAATTGGAAAAAGGATAATGGATAATAAGCCTTAAAGTTAATAACTGAATAATAAGCCTAGAAGAGTGCTGATTTCTGGGTATTGGCAAGAAGCTGAGCGAAGCGTTGACGAATGGCACTTTCCTTTATTAACTCAGTGAAACAGAATGGCAGAGCACAGACTAAGCAGTTTAAAACCTTTGGCTGTGTTTTAGTAGCTGCTGAGCACTGCTGCAGATGTGAGTGTGTGTGTGTAGAGTATTGTGTGTGTGTGTGTGTGTGTGTGTGTGTGTGTGCGTGTGCGTGTGTGTGGGTGTGTGTGTATGTGTGTGTGCGTGCGTGTTTGACAGGGATGTTGGGTGCCGAGTCAGATCCCCTGGGTTGGGAATGGAGGTAGGGGCTGATGTGGGGTGGGGTGTGGTAGATGAATGTGTCTGTGTGTAAGTGTGTATGTGTATGTGTGTGAGCACCCTGGAGATGTTACACTGTTTGCTTACTCTGCAGGAGCTCAGGTCTCTCCGTCCTTTCTTTCCTCTCCATCCTGCCGAGGATCCTCAGAGGCGAACTGGCTCCAGCGCTGAGGGTCTCTCCTCCAGCCCCCCAGCAGCCCCCTGCCCAGGGACACAAAGAGGCTGAGGGGGGGACACTGGGTAACCCCTACAAAAACAACTTTCAAACTGAGTATAATGCAGGTAAGCATGTGTGTGTGTGTGGATGGGTGTGAGTGTGGGTGTGTATCTGACTGATGGAAGCCATGGCTCTCAGGTTACTCAGGAGGCATAAGATTACTGAGGGAGAGCTTTAACCGATCCCAGAGCTGCAGGGATCTGATTGTAAGGCAGGCTGAGGGAGAGGAGAGAGAGAGAGACTCAGGCCACCTGGAGCTACAAGCTCATACAGAAGCACTCAGTCCAGGGGACGCCCCGGTGAGTATTCTTCAGACCCCACCCTGGCAGAGTATGTGTGAGTGTGCTTGCTTGTATATCGTTGCTGTCCAAAAAAAGTACCTCCATTTTTTTCTACTTTTATTTTTCTACATCGGTTTCCATTGTGTCAAAATTTTATGATGAATGGATCAATGGAAATGCTCCAAAAATACTTGGAAAACATTAAAAGTAAAGTTACCATTTGGGATTTTTTGGGGGGCAGTGCAAATATGGTGGAGTGTGGTTGTAATGGCTTTTTGGAGATTAAAAGACTTTTAATTGGTTGGCTTGATATACTGGTTTATATCATTAGCTACTTTTAATTGTTGATGGATTTAGAGACCTGCTGACCAGTCCAGACTTCCATTGTTCAGTCTTAAAACTCAATAATAACTCATTGTTTTATATATAGTTTCGTAATAATAAGCCTTAGGGTGTGGCTGTCTATGAAGTATGAAGTTTAAAGGGTTAAAGTAGTTTGCATATGCAGTAAGTAGGTTCATTGGAAGCTTATTTTCAGAAACTAATGTCTGTTGTAGTTGTATAGTAGTATGTTTGCCGGTTCTCATCATGCTCAGAGCTCAGTTGTCTATGACTGATAAAACTGAAAAGTCAGATGATTTGTATGTTTATTCGTAAAGTTTTCTATGATGCATCCTTTTTGAATGTTTAGTGCTCTAAGAGAATGGACAGTGTTTTGCACTGAAGGTTAACTTTTCTCTGTAACACTTTACTTGAACTCTGTTATATAACATTGACTTAATCATGTCATAAACGTGGTCTTATGACAGATGTCATATGTGGTCATGAGTTGTTGTGACAGATTTTGCTCAATAGTATAATAGTGTCATGCTATCATTACCAATAATTGCCAAGACAGAAGCCATAGAGATTGATATTGTGAAAGTACATGTCAGTGTTATATAGTAGGGTCATTATTACTTTTTCCTCTGGTTTGCAAAGTCTTTTTTCTTCTATGTGGTAGAAAGTCTATGAGTCTATGAAGTCCATGAAGTCTCAATAGAATCACAATCAAGTTTAAACTGTAGTTTTTGTGATCAAATTAAAACTTTAATAATCCAATGAAAAACTGGAAATTCAAAAGGTAATTGTACATGAACAGGAGACAAAGGCAGATAGAAATCAGAATCGGAATCAGCCACACTTTTTTATGCTCGTCTAATTTCCATGTTCCCTTCTTTCATAGCAAAAGACCTTTTGCACAAATTGTAAAGCTGCATGAGTCTCCCTGATGAAAAGGAATTTTTGACAAATGATGTAACAGCATGCAAAGTACTCACCGTCCTCTACGGTACAGCGGCGAATGTGTAGTCAGCAAATAATACCAGATGTGACCAGTATAAAAACAATGGCTTCATCCTTGTGCTGTATCCAGGGAAACTTTCCCACCCTTTTATGATCGATGCTCTCTGATATGCACACACAGACTCTCCATAAAGGGGTACAGATATCATCTCTCCATGTGATTTTCACGTCTTCAGCAGTTTCCCAGACCAACAGCCGCAGGATTAAGATAGATATTAATGTCACCTTTCTCGTCCTCCTATGTAAAACATGCTGAACTCATGGTCAATAGATTTCTACAAACCACACTTTACATTTGACTTTGGTCTTAGTATAGACTGCACTCGCATAATCGAGACAGTGAGCTCTGAAGTTTTCTCCAAACTTGATGAAGAAGAGATGAAGCCGGATAAGCCATCTGCTGTTAAAATGCACAGTTTGCAGGTCTACCCTGCAACAGCACGTTAGAAACTTTGTCCTACAATGTTGAATTTGTTAGTGTAGTTATTGTTATGTCAGTATATAGGGCTAATATTATTGTATATAATATTTTAATAACGTAAAAAACCATGGATCATTTGATCTATTAATAGTTTTGCATATCTGGTAACACTTTATTTCCTTTGTAGATGTTTTGTAGATGCTTAAATTGCCTTTAACTTGCATTTGAATAAATATCTATTAAATTTACCTAGCCTTGAACCTAACACTCCCTCTAACCCTAACATAAACCTCAACCCAAAACCAAATCCAAACCCTAACCTGCTCCATTGGTTTACCAGACAGTTTGTTAATACTTTGGCCATCTGTAGATAGTCTTTCAGTGGCTACACAAATAAAGCGGGACCGCCTTTTCTGAAAATCTGGTGAGAGCTCAGTGTCCCACTGATGGCATCAGTTGTGAACTCCAGAACATTCAGGATCCCATGTTTTGTAAGTTTTCTTAGTGAAAATAAATGAACACATCCTTTACCAGGAATAGAAATTTTAGTGCATATTTTTTTTAATTTAACATATTGGAAAAAATAATAAAAACTAAATGTAAACATGCACAGGGCACATTTCAAGTGTTATTTTTCCCAGAGTGTTAAATTCAGCAAATAAACAGTGATTGTGCATTAAAATGTACAGAAGTATGTTATCTGTTATATGTGTAGAGTTATTTTCACTTAGAAAGTCAACAAAATATGTTTTTGACCAGAGGTGCCTAAACTTTTCCATGATTCTATATACAATAAGTAACTCAATACCTTAGGTTTATTACATTATATGCTTTGGATTTCTTGTATTGGCATAAATCTGGATAATCAGATTTTTAGTGAATAAATCTTGTTTTTAAGATGGATTTTAAGACAGCATCCTGCCTCACTTCCTGCACAAAAATCCAGCCAAACTTAACACACAGCCAGAAACTTCTGTTCCCTGACCAGACAAACTTGTGCTCAATTTAACCCCTTAAAACCCCAGGCTTATTACATACCAGGGCTTATTATTGAGTAAGTACAGAAATGTCAGTGCAAGCTGTTTGAGCTAGTCTTAGTTTATAATGTGTAATAAAACTTTGAGTCATTTAAGGGGTTAACACACTCTAAGTGTGCAAGAGTGGAGACGGAAAAATAATAATTGTCAAAATGATGAAACTGTCAGCAATGTATGCTTTCTCATATACACACACTCTGTCTTTAAGTGCTCTTTACTCCAGAAATACACAACACATCTAAGTTAAAATATATTGTGAAAATATATTGCAAATTGACTACAGACATTATAAGATCATTTCTAACCAGAATTTGCCAAAATAACTTCTAAAATCAGTTTAGACATTCACAAGCAAGTAAGTTACAATGGTTAAGGAGACTGGAAACATAAGATTGTTTGTTTCCTTCGTTGTCTGTCAACTTACTGGCCTTTGTGTGAGAGTTTAAATGAGACTATTTAGAATCATCAAACATGTAAACTTTATCGTACATTTCCTCATTATTCCTAACACCAATACAAGATCATTAACAACTATACCTTGAGAATGAAGACATTTAAACAGACGGCAATGTAAATAGTCAATAAATTGATTTTCCAGAGGCCAGGGAAACAGTGCAATTTGTTTATGCCATTGTAACACACAGTTTCAGTCTGTTGTGTTTTGTCTAAAATAGCAAACCCAGGACTTTCTGTGAAATATTATACTAACAGTGGATGGACATGCATTTTTTGCTAACAACAAATAAACTAAGATCAATTTTGCCAACGCTTAAAAAAACATGGCCACATGAAAGCACAGCGTCAGTGTAACTCACCGATCTGACTACAACAGTGGAAAGGACAGGCCTTGCTGTATACTAATAGGGTCAGTGGAATATCAGGCAGAGCGAAGGTGAGAGGTGTCAGGTGCATTACTGTGCAGTGTCTCTGCACAAGTTGTCATGGAGCCAGTGGCTTTTCTCTTTAGTTGCTGCTGGTTTTGCGGTGTCAAATGCTAAGCGGGCTAGCTGTTTAAATCCACTGTTTAGGCTATGGTTACCTGTCTGCACTAAACTCTCTGGAAAATAGATGGCTGAAGATAAGGGACCTGAACCAGACCTCTGGTCTGCACTCTCACATTCAACTTTGGCTGAAGGTAGACCCCAAATGGGAGAACATTAGAGAAGTGACCAGACCTCTCTTTCATTCTTTATCCCGAATTAAAGACCGAGGAGCTGCTAACACTATGTATGGTGGTTTTTATATGTAGTGAAATAGTGAATAATGAGAATATGTGGATGATTGTGTGTATGTGTCCTAGATGTGACTGTACTTACTCAAGATTTAATCTGTGCCTTGGTCTATCAAGAGTCCTTTCTGCTGCATGATGACTCCCATTAGCCACATATTGTTGCCACCAAGTATCTCCAAAATGGCAACTTTACAAGAGAAAACAAGCACGTTCTGTACTTTTAATGCAAGTCAATGTAAAGAGATTTTATTCCAAGCAATTTTTCCAAAATTACTTACTTGGGGGTTTTAGACAGCAACAATATGCTTTGTTGGTATACTTGTGTCAGGCACTAGCACTGAGCTGTGTATGACAATTAGGATAAAAATACACATTTGGATTTTTAGTTTGCAGGCATGCTTCGTCAGTGGACACAGCAGAAAGAAATACCCATGCAGTTTATTTTGAATGCATTATTGATGATTGTTAAGGTACATTCAAGGAGTTTTCAAGGAGAGCGCAAACACAATAAGCTTGTCTAACAGGAATACAACAATGCCATAATCAATAATAATCCATACCTGCTGGAAAGAATTAGTTTATTCGTGTAAATTAGTTAGTAGACAAATTCTCATGTTTGTTCCTCGATATTCATGGCTATGCAGAGGGGTTTGGATTAACTTAGTTGAATGCTCTAGTTGAACACTACTTGTAAGTCCAGCTATACCAGCTGGGCAGTGACACAGCTGTTCTGTTCTCTTTGTCTCTGTCTGCAGATCAGGTGACGGTGTCTTGGGATTCGTCTCCCTGCTGCAGAACAAGCCAGAACAAGCCTGGATCCCTCCCCGAGCCTGCAGCGATCTGAACTGTACAGTGAACAGGCTGGTCTGTGCTCGTGGCTACCCCTTGGTCATTCATCCTGGCTTAGGCAGCTCAATTGTACCCCGTGGAGGGGAAGGAGGTCATGGAGGTTCCACTGGTCAACTTTGAGAACCTGGATGACATTGGAATCAACCTGGGAGACCCTAGTGATTCGGGATATCCCACTTCACCCACTTCAGAGGCACCGGAAGCGAACCAGATGACACCTGGCATGAATTCACCGACACATTCACCGCAGAGGCACAGACAGCATGGGAACATGCCCACTTCTCCCACGACACTCACAAAGAAAGGGACATCAAGCTGCAACAGTCTCGTCTCTAACTGGAAGATACTTATGAACAGTGAAGGTAGTCCCGGTGAGGCTCTCTTGGGCAAGGTGGCTAAAGACTGTTGTGAGGACTTGTTTGGGGAAAAGCAGAAACTTGAGGAGGGTGACCAGAGGGTAGTCATCAATGTCTCAGGAATGATGTATGAGACGACACTCAAAACCCTTAACCAGTTCCCTGACACCCTGCTCGGAGACCCTAAGAGGCGGATAGACTATTTTGACCCAATGAAAAATGAATATTTCTTTGACCGCAATCGTCCCAGTTTTGATGGAATCCTGTACTTCTACCAGTCTGGGGGCAAGATCCGGCGACCAGCAAATGTGCCGTTGGATGTTTTTGCGGATGAGATCGTGTTCTACAGGCTGGGCCACGAGGTGATGGAGCAGTTCAGGGAGGACGAAGGTTTCATCAGAGAACCTGAGCCTCAGCTACCGACAAGTGAGCTTCACCGTCAGTTCTGGCTGCTGTTTGAGTACCCAGAGAGCTCTAGTGCTGCCAGATCTGTGGCATTAGTGTCTGTTCTTGTTATCACTATTTCCATTTGCATCTTCTGCCTGGAGACTCTCCCAGAGTTCCGTGATGATCACGAATTCACCCATGAAATTGTTAACTTGACCCGTGATGCTAATGGCACACTCTTGTCCCCAAGCCCTCTGCCCAAAAACCGGGAATCAGTCTTCACAGACCCCTTCTTCGTAGTAGAAACCATCTGTATAATCTGGTTCTGCTTCGAAGCAGGAGTGCGCTTTGTTGTGTGCCCCAGCAAAAGCGAATTTTTCAGCAACATCATGAACATGATTGACATTGTCTCCATCATGCCCTACTTCATCACAGTGATCACTGAGCTGATGGCCACTCAAGGAGATGATGCAGCAGCTAACCAGAACATGTCCCTTGCCACGCTTCGAGTCATCAGACTGGTGAGGGTCTTTAGGATCTTTAAGCTCTCACGTCACTCCAAAGGACTTCAGATTCTGGGCCAGACCCTGAAGGCCAGCATGAGAGAGCTCGGCTTGCTCATCTTCTTCCTTTTCATTGGAGTCATCCTCTTCTCCAGTGCCATTTACTTTGCTGAGGTTGACGAACCTGAAACGCAATTTGTGAGCATCCCAGAGGGTTTCTGGTGGGCTGTGGTCACCATGACGACAGTTGGCTATGGTGACATGTGTCCAGTCACCTTGGGGGGTAAGATGGTGGGCATCCTCTGTGCCATCGCTGGAGTGCTGACCATTGCTCTTCCTGTTCCTGTTATTGTTTCCAACTTCAACTATTTCTACCACCGTGAAACAGAGCAGGCAGAGAAGCATGTCATGGATGCAGCTGCAGAGGCGGCTGCAAACCAGAAAAATTCTGATGAGAAATATGAGAGCACCTACTCTCTGGACAAGAGCAATGGGAATTGGCAGATGGAAAAAAATGGCATTCCTTGAGAAATGTAGTGCTGCTAAATTTAGCATGAGTAGCAATAATAAGACTGAGCAACAATGCACTTAGTTTTGGATTGATAAATGCATTATTTAGATTTCCACTGATGTATTTAATGCTATGCATACAATTACAGAACCTCAGAAATGATGCAGATCTGGCCAAAGGGTGCTGGAAACACCTCAGAAACATAATGATGCTGCACCTCAAAATCTCTTAGGTAGATCTGCCATATAAAGGGTCAAAGACATGGAGTTTCCCTTTAAAGCTTTCTATGCAGCTTAACAGCAAAAGAGACTAATAAGAACTGAACCAAAACAAAAACAGTCAGAAGTTACTTACGCAACATTTTGTGAGAAACCGGACTGCAATTGACTGAAGCTTTTAACTGATTAGAAATTAGGTGCTTGTTTTGCAGAGCCCCTCAAATGAGCATTACGGAGTCATGAGTCTGCACTCTGAGCCTCCTCTCACCACTGCACTTTGCTGAACGTGTCGTTTCTTTAGAGTTTCATGCTGACATCACCTTTGACATTGCTGCTTGTGAGACGAAAGAGCTTACATCAAGCTATCGTCCATCTTTCAATGTCACTAAACGTCCCCTCTAACTTGTCTGCCCTGCTAGTTATCATCACAGCTAATCAGGCCTGTTACTTCATACTGTATCCAATGCTAGTGTGCTATATTTACATGACCCACTATGTCACGGCAGCATCTGCTGGTTGTCCCACATTTGCACAGGTGTTGCTATTCGTATCAACATTTACTTAAAATGTGGAGAGCAGCCTGTAGCCTAGAATGTTCCAAAATTTACAGTGAGGAGTTTATATTCAGTTGTATGCAAGGTTTGGGCACCCCTGCTCAAATGATGTGAAAATAATAATACATCCTCTACAGAGAACATCTGCACATTTTAATGCACAATTATGGTTTATTTGCTGATTTTAACATATTGGGAAAACAGAAAACATGGCCTGTGCAAAGGTTATGGCACATTTTATCTTTTTCTAATATGTTAAACACAAATAAATATAAACAATGCACTTCATAGCCAGAAAAAAGTCATATTTGAGCTCCCTGTAGAGGATGTGTTGACCTATTTTTTACACAAAACAAAACATATAATTTGACATTCAAACTTTGGCATATGACTGTAATCTTCAGTGCCTACTGTGAATGGGTGAATTGTGCATGACAACCATTTAATGTAGGTATTTCTTGAGCTGGACAAAGCACCATAGCCTCTCTTCTCTTACTGCTGGTTTGAGTCGTCTACTTAAAGATACAGTAACTAGCACTAAAGACTCAATTCCATGTAATTTAGCGAATGTAGGGTTTGATATTTATGATAGATCTCTACACAGATATTAGTTGATAGTTCACTGGCCTCCCAATATGCACACAGAAGATAGTCACGGCTGAATAGCACACAGCTTGCATGAGGTGATCTCCATTAGTGATAAGCTTACAGAATTACCTCTAAGACTCCAATTTGTAGATACTCTTAGAAACGTTTCTTTAGGCAGCTTTTAAATGGAAGAGAGAAGTAGCATCTTTTAACTGCCTTGCATCAGTAGAGTTTAGCTGATCTGAGTAAACATTCTTATTTATGACCGACAGCATGGAGGCACTGCGCATGGTCTGACATACCGTAAGAACAACCAAGGCAGTTTGAAAAATGTAAATATTACAGAGAAAAAAAGAACTGCATTTTTATATCATCTAAGCAATTGCTTCCAAATGTTTGCATCACAAAGCCCTTTTCATGGTATACTTGATCTGAAACATACAGTATAGAAACACAGTAACACTTACAGACCCATCGTCTTCGTCACGATTGTCCCACTTCCCATGCATGGTGGCAGTTTGGCTCGTCTTTTTTCCCTTTTTTTTCTTCTTTTTTCATCATTTATTAGTATTTGTGGTCAGACTTGGCACACTTTTTAGTGAAAGTTATTCGATCACATACGACTCTCTTTAAACAAATTTCTGACTATGCAGTGGAAACTCCTTTTTTGTGATTACTGTCCTTTTTGATTATTCGCATATAATATCTCAGACTTGCACATTTTTTGTAAATAGTACCTTTTAAATGATATGCAAAAATGTATATCTATAGATGCTATTTAAGGCAATACAACAAAGCACTTTCAAGGGAAGCTAGAATTTGAGTTTTCCACCAATAACTGAGTAATTTATACCAGCAGATAATAAAACATTCAACAAATACAGAATATAACTTCTAAAATTGCAAGAATAAATTTACAAACGACCATCAAGAATATCAAAAAATGCATGACAAACCACGGGTTTGTAATGCTTCCAAGCTGATTAGAGAAAAGAAGTTTCTGAAGAATATATTTCCATTGACAATTTTACATGACGAAACACCTGTGCATGCGTTTCATGAGTCAGAATGTGTCAGTATTTACAAATTCATAAAAAAAAAAAATCATTCCTTAATTGGCAAGTCTTGAGAGGATGTCTTTGAGTCGAATGACAGAAATGACACAATGTAATAAATAGTTTAGGGTTTTGAAGTCATAATAGCATTTAGCATCTCATGAATGTATGCAATGGCTGTATAAATTTGATCATATAAGCACTATATTTTATTCATGATATTCTGAGTGCCTTTTATTAAACATTTATCCTGTTTAGGAGGCTCCTTGTTTGGTTTGTTTGCTGTACAGTAAAAGTATTTTTGTGTTCTCTATGTGATCTATAGCTACTTATTTGTTGTTTGTAAGTCGAATTAGTTATTTTTCTTATTCGTTAAACTTCTGTTAGTGATTGTCGGGGTGTTTGAAAGCGTTCAAGTCAAGACAAGTCAAGTGGTCCTCATTGTCATCCCTCAGTATAAATTGTGAAAATTGGAACAAAAAGTCATTCTTCAGGCCACATGGTGCAACACACAACAGAAGTACAAATGCGTACTTTTCACCTGGAAAAACTTATTTAAGGTGCACAATTGGACCTTAAAACCACTGTTGTACCTTTGAGGGAACATTTACATTGTTTGTACCTTGATGAATGACGTAACGTACCTGCACAGAACCTTTATTTCTAACAGTGTACATGTAACTGAGTAAATGTAAGTGGTTGCTGGCCACCTCTGCTTGCTGAGAGAGAGAGCCTGTGAGCCAGTGTCTAAGATTTTTTGGCACGGCGTGTGGATTTTATCAGTGACAGAGACAAAACACAGCTTTGGTGCACAATGAGTGAGCATTAATCTTTTATTACACATTGTGCATCTCTGCGTGTCTGAAATAATCCCAGAGAGCTTGTTGTCAGAGAGAAGCACTGCTGGTAAAGGTCAGCAGGTTTTGAATGCGGTTCTGTGGACAGAGTTTCTAAATCATCATGAATGAAAAAAACAGTGTTTACACAGAAGCAGCAGCTGACCCATGAAAACTCTTTACAGCTGCTTCATTTTTGAGTGGCATTCTTATTGAGTTCAGCGAAATGCTCTCGATGGCCTTCTCTCGGGCTGTCTTGAATTTTCCTGGTGCGAGTGAAATAGAAAACCCACATCCGAACTCACACAGCAGCTGACATTGCAGCTTTTTCTTCCTGAACCCTGTTTTGATTGGGGTGCAGTGCTTTGCTTTACATTACGTATAGCCTTTGGCCATTGACTGAAACTGTGTGACTGTGCTGAGGCAGGACATTTAGATCTGGGTTTTGCGTTACATTTATGATGGTCTGATTGACCCGCAGTTTAACAAAATTACATCATAAGCAGGGTTTACATGCCTCGGGGGTGGTCGAAGTTTAGATCCAAAACTTCTCCAACACAGTAACTTTTCAGGAGAAGGAAAAATGAAGAGCTTCATTCCAAAATTCTGTATATTCATTTGTATTTCTAATTCTGAAAAGTATAACAGCTGATGTATAATGAAAAAATATATTTTTATTTCTCTTATAAAGATAGTATTAATCATAATATAGCACTGGTATTTGTTGTATGTAAAGCTCACTCCTAAAAACATATATCAGTAAAAAAGAAAGTTCTTCAAGTGGCCTATTATGTATTTTGGAATAAAACCCTTCAAATATTCTTACATTAAAATCACTTTAATGTACATTAATATGATGAGATCCAACTCTAAGAAATTTTGGCCCTTTTTATTAGTCTGTCCATCATGTAATGTAGTATAATGTTACATAATGTTAACCTCTTAACAATCCAGGTTTATTTCATAATAAGGCTTATTATTACATTAATACAAACTAGTGGAGCTATTCTTAGCTTATTGAGGTGAGTAATAAAACTTTGGATTGTTAAGGGGTTAAAGGGAAGCTGGCATTTTGAAATAAATGTAAAAAATAAATAAATAATTATGTAAATAAAAAATAAATAAATAAAGGTTTTATCAGCAAATGCATGGTGACAATGTAAAGATATGATGATAAAAGACAACCATAAGACAACCATGCATTCACTAAAAAACAATAGTGCTTTCCCTTCATGGAAAAAAATACTAAAATGTGCTTTTTTGAATGCAAACACTGTTGCTCTGGTGATATTCACAAGGGTTCATCTTAAGTGCCTTTAGCAAAGGGATATAACTACCATACACTGCAATTCTCATTTTTTAACCCCCGTCTTGGCTTCAGGCTTTTTCATTTCTCTTTAAGCTATAAAAAGGCACAAATATACACCTTCCCCCTGGGAAAGTGAATGCAGTGTATATTTTAAAACTCATTTAAGGCTAGATCTTAAGGACCATGCTGTACCCTTTCAGGGTTTCATTCACATTGTTTGTACCTTGCGGTCCTAAATGTACCTGTACAATACCTTTTTCAGACAGTGTTGAATGCACTGCCAAAATAAATCAAAATAAAATATAGTAATAGTAATTGTGGTGACATGATCTATTTCATTCATGTGGCACCAGTGTACACACCTGAATCAAATTCAGTGCACTATTTTTTTAGTGTACTTTAAAATTTTAGTATACAGCCATATTGAATGAGAGCATTGTCTTTCAGCAGGTTCCAA